TGCTTAACCGGAACCACTCCTCGTACTGCGGGATTGATTCAGCTGGTTGGTACCCGCCTCGTGGTGCTCGCACTAGTCTCGGCTAACTCTCGCCCTCCGACTGCGGGGATGACGTCGAAGGAGTACCTAGGGTTAGGGTTAGGGTCAGGGTTAGGGTTGGGGTAAGGGGTAGGGTTAGGGTTGGGGTTGGGGTAAGGGTTAGGGTTAGGGTTAGGGATTAGGGTTAGGGATAGGGTTGGGGTAAGGGTTAGGGTAAGGGTTAGGGATAGGGTTGGGGTAAGGGTTAGGGTAAGGGTTAGGGTAAGGGTTAGGGTTTAGGGTTGGGGTAAGGGTTAGGGTTGGGGTTAGGGTAGGGTTAGGGAGGGAGGGTCAGGGTTAGAGTGCCGCTCGTAGAGGCGCGCGAGGAGGGGGTTGGTGACGTGAGAAAACTCGAGACAGAGGAAGCGCCCGCCCGGCCGCAGCACGCGATGGGCCTGAGGTGTGAGTAGGAGGGGTGTGAAGAGGAGGGGTGCGGTGAGAGAGAGGTGTGGAGAGAGAGGTGTGAAGAGGCGCAGAGGTGTGGAGAGGAGAGGTGTGGAGAGAGAGAGGTGTGGTAGAGGCGAGAGCGCCTCGCTCAGCGCCTTCTCGATGTGCGTCACCTATGGTATATTATTACATATTATTATTATATATTACATTGTTATTGCCTTCTCGATGTGCGTCACCTATTGACAGCTTCTCCATCAGAGTGTAGTGTTGTTCATGTCTCAACAATGCCTTGTCGAGGAGCGTCACCTAAAAGAAATGGTCCTCCTCAGAGCATTGAGATTACCTAAACAAGCATTGACATGAACGAAACACGTTTCGGATCCCAAAGGCAATCGTGTACACATCAAACGCGCAGTCGTCGAACGGCAGCTGCTCCGCCGACCCAACGACCTAGCCGAGATATGGCCGAGATGCGGCACTGCTCTGCCGACCCAACCACCCAATGCATCCGCGGCCATATCTCGGCCATATCTCGGCCATATCTCGGCCATATCTCGGCCCAACCACCCAGTCCATCCGCGGTCGCAGCGAGGCCGCGCCGCCGTCGAGCGCGCGCCTGGAAAGCACAAATGAACTCCTAAACACGAACTACGAGGGGAGAAGAAATCCTCGGCGCGCCGAGCGCGCGCCTACAAAAGAAAGACCCCGTTGCGAAAAAGAGATGCGGCAGTACGGAAAAAACGAGTCGGCGGCTCAGCGCGCGCCGCCGCCCCTCCTCGAGCATCGACTTGTTGATGTCGCACACCACCACCCTCGGCTCCTCGACCCCTCCTCCTCCCCCTCCTCCTCCTCCTCCGCCGCCGCCGCTTCCGCCGCTTCCGCCGCCTGGCAAAAGAGAGCAGAGAGAGCTGCGGAGAGAGCGAGGGCCGTGTGGCCCTGCAGCTCGGTGGGTGCGGCGGCTAGGCGCGCGGCGCGTCGATGCTGCGATGGAGCGTGCTGTCTCACGGCAGGCGGTGCCGGCGGGGTTGGCCCGCCTGACGCGGCGAGCGCGCCCATCTGGTCGGCGATCCGGAAGGCGATGTCACCCGTGCCGCCGGCGACATCGAGCACCTGCAGGTCGGGCTTGCGCATGCCGCCGAGCCCGATCATCCCCACCACCGTGTCTTTCCAGATGCGGTGCATGCCCGCCGACATCAGGTCGTTCATCAGGTCATAGTTTGAGGCGACTGAGTGGAAGACGTTTCCGACGAGGCGCTCCTTCTCGTCCTCGTCGACGGCCTTGAAGCCAAACTCACTCGCGCGCGAGGTGGCACGCGAGTGCGCGTCCGATGACAGGAGGCGGCCAAGCAGCATAGGCGCTGGCCTCCTCGCCGAGCCTGAGACCTTCGCCGACGCGCGTAACATGTGGAAGGCTGAAGTCGAGCGATAAAAAAAAGGCGCTTTTCCACACCAGACGCGTTGGCGAAGGGCCGAGCGGAAGGAGGACGGGGAAGATGACTCAGAGGAGGACGAACCAGTGGAAATTCAGTTGTCAGATGTCACGATGCATCCGAAGGGGACCCCAGCGCCGGCATCATCCGTAGAGGCACGAGTGTTCGAAGAGAGAGTGGACCTGAGCAACAACATGACGTGTAGGCAAATGATCGGAGTGGGAGTCAGAAATGTGGTCCTTGCGCGAGGGGAGCTTGATAGACTCGAGGGGCCAGGATACGCCGCGAGGAGGACGGAGTTGCGCAAGGCGAAAGAAGCCGCGAGAACAAGGGACCGGCAGGCGGCGGCGTCGCAGGACGAGACAGAAGAGAACGACGCGACAGAGGAGGAAGTGACAAGGGAGAGACCGACGAGAGTGGGACGGCCGCGAGGTGGCATGAAGGTTGCAGCGAGAAGCGGCGAGAGACTGCGAAAAGAGATACGAAGAGGCAGACTCCCCAGGGTGGGCGACGGCTAGCGCACCACACTCCTCTCCTTAAAATCCCTGTGTGGTGGCGGCGTGCCGTTCTCCCATCCCTCCCTTGGGTTGTGTGTTTTCTTTCTTTCTTTCTTTTGGTGTCCCAGTCGTTGGTCGGACAAGTGAGCGCCTGCACGAGTAGACGCTTATATTCGAGCTCGCCAAATGCGCATCTGCACGTGGAGGCGCTCATGTTAGCTCGGGCTCGCACCTGCACGTGTGGGCGCGTATGCGTCTGACACAAGCACCTACACGACAAAACAACAATGTTTGGTATTGCTAAAAATCTCTCTCCTACACGTGTCAAGCTCAGCAGAGAGATTGTCTCACCTTTTGAGCGAGAGATTGTGATCTCGCTATGGTGCCATGCTGCGGCACAAGTCGAGCTGTGAACAGGTAAGGTAAGGTAAGGTAGATTTCTCCACACACACAAAGTGGTGGGGCAAGGGGGGGCGACCCTCGCATCTCCACGCCCGGACACGGGCAGGAGCCCCACGGCATTCAAAGTGCAAGCACTGGCCCGGTGCACGTGGGTGAGCAGCCTGCCCCTCCCTCCCGACAAACCAACTCCCGCACACACACAATCGCACTCTGGCCATCGAATGACTCCGAATGACTCACTGTGTGTGCACAGAGGGATGGGGGGAGGGGGGGGCAGAGGTAAGGTGGGGTGAGACTGGGGAGGGCCTCAAAGGTCCCCCATGGGGGTGGGGTCCGGCCCGAACAGGTCGAAGCCGGTCCCGCCATCGCCGCCGGCGCCGTCGCCCTCGTCCGCCTCGGAGGCGGAGGTCGTCGAGCGGGGCGTCTCGCCCGTCGCGAACCTGCCGCCGAACACGGCGTCGGCCGGCGCCGAGGCGCCGGCAGCCGTGATCAGGTCGGCGACCTTTCGGTCCCTGCAGGCCGCATCAATTTTGCCGCCCCGGGACGGCTCGTAGAGCTCGTTGGCGAGTCAGTCCCGGGCGACCTTGGTCGCCACGGAGCCCAGAGGGACCGTGGCGTACACCAGGTCGCCGAACCCGCTGCCCCCCTCGGGAGGGAGCGAGTAGGCGACCTGAATATTGGACCCCGCTGGGGTTGCGCGCCGCCTGCGCCGCAGCCTCCAGGCCCTCGTCCATGACGAACTCGACGTTCTCGCGCAGCTGCGCGTGCGGGTAGTCCGCACGCTCAGCCTCGCTCGCAGCCGCCGCCGCAGCCTTCTCCGCCTTGTTCGCCTTCTGCCGGGCCTTTTTGGCCCTGCGAGCCGCGGCCCGAGCATCCTTCTGCTCCTCCGTCAGCTCCTCCTTCCGCGGCGCGGTGCGCTCGACGAACGAGCGCTCCCCTCCGCCGCCTGCACCGGCTCGCGGTCGCCCGCGGCCTTCTCGTGCTTCAGGTCGAAGGTCGCCGTCCCGTAGCCAGGGACCTCATACCTGAGCTGCGACACACCTGCAAGCCTTGCGGCAATGAGGCAGTCTTGCATGTGCGCGCGATCGCTGCTGGATTCCAGGGCCGTCCGCCCGCGGCGCATCCCCGGCGGCCCGACGGTGGCCGGCGCTTGCGCGCCAGCCCCGTCCGCCGCCGGATCCGCGGCCGCGGTCCCTGTAGCTGTGAACACGCGGTGTGAACTAGCTCAGGAGAGAGATTGTCTCATCTCTTGCGCGAGAGATTGTCATCTCGCTGCACAGCGCCATGCGGCGGCACAAGTCGAGCTGTGAGCACGCGGTGTCTGTGAACTAGCTCAGCCCCAGAGAGATTGTCTCATCTCTTGCGCGGAGAGATTGTCATCTCGCTACGTCAGTACAGTGCCATGCGGCGGCAGAAGTCGAGCTGTGAACACGCGGTGTGAATACAAGCTCAGCAGAGAGATTGTCTCATCTCTTGAGCGAGAGATTGCGATCTCGCATACGACCTCGAGGAACACTCGTACACACAAATATTACCCATCGAGCGCCCCAATCGCCTCCGTTACCGCGGCAACTAGCCGCGACGCCTCCCCCTCGCTGCGCGGCCCGTCCCTCCGCCACCTCGCCGCGTCGTGGTGCCTCGCCGCGTTCGCCCAGATGCGCAGCGAGTGGAGCTGGCTCCGCAGCTCGGCCGGCAAGCCGCACTCGCGGTGCCAAAAGTTGATGCGCTCCTCGAAGCCATCGGGCGCCGCCGCAGAGCGCGAGGCGTAGACGGCGTCGAGGCGCGGCATCAGCGTGTTGAAGGCGAGCAGCATGTTGCCCTGGATGCGCGCCTGTGAGTCGCCGCCCGTGCGCATGCCGCGCACCTGCACCGAGAGCGGCGAAGGCTCGTAGCCAGTGGAGCGAGCGGCCGCGGCGGCCTCGACTCCAAGTGCCGGCGCAGCCTCCTCTATCCCTGCCCCGCCCTCATGTGCGCCAGAGAGCAACGCCCGGAGAGCTAGCAACGCCTCCGGCAGCGTGGGCCGCTTGCGCAAGCTCTCGTGGCAGAGGCTCTTCTGCCCGTCTCCCGCCTTGGCGAGGTCCTTGACCGCGCGCGCCGCGTCGGCTGGCCAGCCCGCAGCCACGTCGGCGAGCTTCGCCGCGTCGATGTCGGTCCAGTCCTCCTCGAACTCGTCCTCGCACCGGTCGGTCAGCTGCACCTCGGACCGGTTGGTGAGGCAGACGAGGAGGGTGATGCCGATGGCGTAGCCGTCCGTCTTGCTCGAGTACTCGCCTCCCTTGGAGATGGAGAGGCAGAGGTATCCCGTGGACATGTAGAGGGTGTTCGAAGGGGAGCGGACAGACGCGTCGGGACGCTGGTCCTTTGCGAAGCCCGTGTCGGCCAGGACAGCGGTCAGCTTCTCGTCGAGCAGGATGTTGTCCGGCTTGACGTCGCGGTGCACGATGCCCTTCGAGTGGAGGTAGACGAGCGCCTCGGTCGCCTCGCACGCAATGCGAACGCGCTGCCGCCACGTCAGCGGCCTCAGCGGCTCTTCCATGCCCAACCGCTGGAGCTGCGCAGCGCGGTCGGGATCTGAGATACGCAGCCGCGCCTCGAGCGAGCCGCCGCGCATCAGCGGCGAGAGGAGGCAGACGCCGTCGGGCGAGAGGCAGTAGCCGAGCAGCGGCAGCAGGTGCGGGTGGCTCACCGCCTTGAGAAGCTTCACCTCGAGCTCCGCCCGAGACAAACCGCCCGACTGGCCCGACTTTGCCCGCTTGACGACGAGCGGCAAGTGGCGCAGCTGCGGAGGCGCGGCGAGGGAGAGGTGGAGGTCGGCCGACGCCTCATAGACGCGGCTAAATCCGCCGCTGCCAATCAGCTTGCCCTCTGCAAACCCGTCCGTAGCCGCGGTGAGGTCCGACAGGGCTAGCTCGACGGGCCGAGCAACAGCCTCTTCCGCCGCGGCCGGATCGACAGACAGCAGATCCAGCCGCGACTCTGCCGCGATCAACTCCTCGTCCAGCGCAGGCAGCATGCCCACGTGCTGCCTGGCGGCAGCGATGCCCGCTCGGAGCGCGGAGGGGCTGTCCGCTGTGTCGAGCGACTTGAGCGCGCCCATCGCCTCGCCATGCGCCTTGCGCAGCCGCTGGCTGTCCCGCCTCCGCGCCTCCTTGAGCTTGTCACGCGCGCGCCTCGCCGCCGCCAGCACGGCCGGGCTCGCGAGGCTGCTGTACACCTCCAGCGCTCTCGCTAATCCGTCATACAAGCCAGCAGCCACGGCCTGCTGCAGCGCCTCGTCCGCCGCGGCGATGGCGGCTGCGTCGGCGGGTGGAGTAGGAGAGGCTGGCGGCGGGGGTGGCGGTGAAGAGGCGGCGATGGCGCTGGGGCCCGGAGCCGAGACAAGTGCCTCGCCGCCGCCGCTCTTCTTCTTCTTCTTCTTGCTCTTCTTGCTCTCCTTGGCGCGGTCCTCCTTCTCCGCCTCCTCCTCCGCCAGCAGCGCCTCGGCGTGTCGCGACGCCTCCGCCTCTGCCGCCGCTCTCTCCGCCTCCCTCGCCTCCGCCCCCGCAACCCACGCCGCCTCCTTCGCCGCCTTCTCAGCCGCCGCCGCCGCCGCCGCATGCTCCCCGAGGGCGCGCACGCATGAGGCGTGGCCTTGCTCCTTGGCCATCTGCAGCGCCGTCTCGCCGCTCGCATTGCGCGCCGCCGCGTCTGCGCCCGCCCGCAGCAGGCGGAGCACGACGGCGGGGTGGTTGTTGGCGGCGGCGTGCATCAGCGCGGTGAAGCCGTCGCTGTCCTGCGTGTTGATCTCCGCGCCGCGCTGCACCAGCAACTCGACCACCCGCTCGTGGCCCTTCTGGGCGGCGAGCATCAGCGCGGTGCCGCCGTTGCTGGCCTGCACGTTGATCTCCGCGCCGCGCTGCAGCAACAACTCGACCACCCGCTTGTGGCCTTTGAAAGCGGCGATCATCAGCGCGGTGCCGCCGTTGCTGGCCTGCACGTTTATCTCCGCGCCGCGCTGCAGCAACAACTCGACCACCCGCTTGTGGCCTTGGCGGGCGGCGCCCATCAGCGCAGTGTCGCCGTCGCTGTCCTGCAAGTTGATCTCCGCGCCGCGCTGCAGCAGCAACTCGACAACTCGCTCGTAGCCGTGGTAGGCGGCGAGCATCAGCGCGGTGAAGCCTTTGCTGCTCTGCAGGTCGATCTCGGCGCCGCGCTGCAGCAACAACTCGACAACTCGCTCGTGGCCCTCCTGGGCGGCGCCCATCAGCGCGGTGGTGCCGCTTTTGCTGCTCTGCTTGTTCACCTCCGCGCCGCGCTTCAGCAGCAGCTCGACCACCCGCTCGTGGCCCCGCTGGGCGGACAGCATCAGCGCGGTGATGCCGCTCACATCGCCCGCCACGCAAGTCGCATTGATCTGCCCGCCGCTGTCAAGCCACGACAGCAGCGCTGCCTGCCCAGTGAGCTGGAAGAGACCGCGGCACTCTCTCCCGCCGCCGCCTCGCCCGAGGAAGCGCCGCCCGCGCCGCCCGCCGCCGCCTCACGCTGGCTCGTAGTCACCTCCGCGACGTGCTGCCGGAAGGCCTCGACGCACGCGGCGTGGCCCTTCTCCTTGGCCCACTGCAGCGCCGTCTTGCCGCTTTCAGAGCGCAGCTTCGTATCCGCGCCCGCACGCAGCAGGCGGAGCACGACGGCGGGGTGGTCGAAGACGGCGGCGCCCATCAGCGCGGTGCCGCCGTTGCTGGCCTGCACGTTGATCTCCGCGCCGCGCTCCAGCAGCAGCTCGACCACCCGCTTGTGGCCTTGGCGGGCGGCGGATATCAGCGCGGTGTAGCCGTCGCTGTTCCGCAGGTTGATCTCCGCGCCGCGCTTCAGCAGCAGCTCGATCACCCGCTCTTGGCCGTTAGTGGCGGCGATACTCAGCAGCGTGAAGTAGGTCTCACCGTCAGTCTCCCGCGCGTTCGCCTGCCCGCCAATTTTGAGCCAGTCCCGCAGCACGCCAATGTTGCCGGCCCTCGCCGCCTTCACGACGTTTGGTGGCGCCTCCCGGGCATCTGCCGCCGGCGGGGAACTATCCGAGGGCAACATTTAACGTGTGCGCCCGCTCTTTTTGCGTTCTGCACGCGCTCGGCGAAAAAAGAATTTTACAACGCAACTCCCTCGCCCAGTGTTGTGCGAAAAAAGAATTTACGAAGTTAAAGAACACGGAGCGATGTCCGCCTTGCGTTGTTTCATAACATCGAAGGCTAAGCTCAAAAAGAATTTAGACTGCCGTTATTTATTTATTTATATGTGATAGGCGCCGCAGGCGCACACGCCGGATCCTCTCCACTTCGGATCCCGCCACACCACCAACAGAAATCCGCCATCACGAGTACCCATGGCCAGGGGCGGGGCTTGCGATTTACCTTCATCGCCTTCGGTTTCTTTTTTATGGGCTCTCGTCACGCGGCCGATCCGCGAGCTACACAGGCCCTTCGCCGATCTCGACGTCTCGACCGCGCCCGGAGAGTGTTTCGACGAGCTGCGAGAGGCGCACACGCAGCTCGTTAGCAGACACGACCTCACCGACAAGTGCCAGCGGAGCTGGCGGACGCAGGTCGTGTGCCGGGAGGTGGTGAGCCCGGGCACTGCGATCAACGATGGGTAGCGAGGATTGGTGTAACCCGAGCCACGGAGGCGTGTTTTCAGGCGGCCGACCGTCAGTGCACGGAGTTGCCACTTCTCCGACAGATCACCACAGTGACCACGCGTTTTTTCTCTCCCTTCACTTTTAGCTTCTCTCTCTCTCTCTCTCTCTCTCTCTCTCGCGCGGGCTTTGGAACCCTTCGTTCCTCTCCCCCCGGCAAGGCGCGCGATACACGTCTCAGGTCCCCTGCTTATCGACCAAACATAGCTGGAGCCTAAAGGTGGGGCGTATCGCTCGAGCGTATCGCGCGCAGTGGTTGGTGCCTCTGTGCGCCCTCCGACCTCGAGCCTCCGATGTGATTCGCCGGCGGGAGCTGCGGCGCCGTGGCCGTTTCCGCTGTCGGATGGAAGCCGGTCCGAGACTCGGCGCCGACCATGCAAGTATCTGATCGGATCGCTCGCTCGTCGAAATCGATCGACTGAGCTCAACGACTTTTCTTTTTTCGAAACGCGCGCGCGGCCCGTCGGCGGCACAAAACTGTCAGGTCCGCCGCGACGCGTCGCCGCAATGCGCCGGGCAGCGACGTGGTGGGGAAGCATGGTGCGGCTCGCCCTCAAGCCATTTAATATCCAGCACCTCGCCGACGACTGGAACGCTAACCGTACTTACTTACAGCTGTCGGTACAGAGATGCCAGCACCCCCCAGCAGCAGAGCGCTCCTGCTGGGGGGGGGGGGGGGGGGTCCACAACACATATGCCGGATAGGCGATTCGATAGCGGTAATATCTGAAAAAGAACAACCAACAAGAAATTTTAAAGATTTGGGGTAGCTGACAACATGAACACATGTGATGCAAACGGTAAAATACACACCATGGCACTGGCTTACCGCGGCGCGAGCCGCGGCCACTGGAACACACCCGCAAGGGCCACAAGGACCGCTCACGCGCGCGCGGATGCCTCTCGCCGACTCTCGTACCGCACCGGCTCTCGCGCCACTGGCTGGCTCTCCCCTCTCTCTCTCTCTCTCTCCTCTCTCTCCCCGAGTACACCCGAGCGGGCTCCGCCTCAAACGTCATATGCGACACTCCAACGCTGCGACCCTCTCGCGGATCGGACGCCTCGGCACCGGCGCCGCCACGCCGGCCGCGCCGCCCTCCCACCTCGCCGGGCTCGCCTCTGCGCCGAGGAGCCGCACGCAGCTGCCCCCGCCCTCGCTGCTCTCCGGCCCGGCCGCCCCCGCGGCAGAGAGGAGCTCGGCAGCCTCGCCGCCGCCGCCGCCGCCGCCGCCAGCCTCCCCAGAGGAGGACCGCTCCGTGGCTAGCGACGTCTCGCCTGCTCGCGGCTGGTGGGCGTGAAGAGACGCTGTTCACAGGCTCCGCGGGACGAGGGACGATTGCGCGGGGCTCATCTTGGCCCATCTCGGCCACATCTCGGCCCCATCTCGGCCCCATCTCGGCGCAATCTCGGCGCAATCTCGGCGCAATCTCGGCGCAATCTCGGCGACGTCTCGCCGGCGGTGGACGAGAAACCAGATGACGCAGTGTCGCTCCGAGAAAGCGTGCCGTCGCTGCCGTCGCTGCCGCCGCCGCCGCCGCCGCCGCCGCCTCCGCCGCCGCCGCCGCCCTCGACGCCGCCGCCGCCCTCGACGCCCGCGCCGGCGGCCGGATCTCGGCTCGATCTCGCGCCAGATCTGAGCTCACGCTGGCTTGACGGCGG